TATAAAGTTTTTATATTTTTGAATAGATTAATAAATCTATTTTTTAAAATGATCTGAAAAATTTTACATAATATTTTAAAATGATATAAAGTTTTTATTTGATTTCTTAAACCAATATAAAATTTTTTACTTAATTGTTTAAAATGATATGTAATTTTAACAAAATTATTTTGAAAATTTCAACTTAATTTGAATTTTCAAAAATCTATTTTCTATTAAAAATATTATTTTATTGATAAATGATATCATAATAAAAATTAAAAAAATATTTTAAATTATAATATTTTATAAAATATATTTGAAATATATAAAAAATCAAATTTTCTTGAATTATTTTTATCATTTTCTTTATTTATTATTTATAAAATATATTTGACAAAGGAAAATAAAAGATATTTAATATTTTAAAAATTATATTTTATGTATTAAAATAATATTTTATTATAATTTATGAGTCAAATAATATTTTTAATAAAAATATTTTTTTTTTATAATGATATGTTTGTTTGTAAAAAATGATGTACAATTAATTATGTATTAAACCATAAGTATTTCATTGGTTTATAAAAATATATATCAAATTAATCAAAGATACCCATAAAAAAACTATAGCGATAAAATTTTTTTTGATGAATTCATTACAAGACATCCGAAAATGACTGAAAATAAAAACAAAAATCATTATAATTTATTTATTTTTGAAAATATTTTATCTCCTAATCACAAGAGAGAATTGTGAATTCAAATTTTTTTCAATTCAATAGATAAAAATGGTATTTAAATAAATTCAGTATTTTTTAATAATGTAAAAAATTGTGGTTAAGTTTTAAATCAAAAAACATTTTGATAATGATAAAAGGAAGCTAATTTTATTAAAGTTCTTTCTTTAGTCCTATTATCGATTATAAGATTTAGGTTGTATGAATTGTTATCGATTTAATATTTTTAATTTATTTTAATTTTAAAAAAAATTTTAAATAAAATTATAATTAATAAATTATATTACAATAAAATATAAAAATATAATTTTAAATTTAATATTTTAAAATATATATATGAAATATATAAAACTTTGACATAGTTTCTTCTTTGATCCATAAATTTTGAGAGAATTTTATTTTGATCCTTAAACTTTGAAAAAATTTTATTTTGGTCCCCATCTAGCACATGAGATATTAGCTAACGTCATCACATAATGCTAGCTAGCATTTGCCGTCAATTTAGATAGTTTTATAGACAGAATCATTATATTGATATATGTTTGAGCAATTGAGAACTCAATTAAAACTTTTTAAAGTTTAAAAATCAAAATAAAATTTATTCCAAATTTTAAAGACTATAGGTGCTATTTACTCTTGAATTAAATATTACAAATTTATTTAGGTGTAAATTAAAATTTAAAGATTTTATTTAAATATAATAAAAATATAAAATTATCCTCGAACCTTTGGTCTAGTAACTAAAAACGTTTAAGGGAACATAAAGAGCTTGGTTTTGAGTCAAATCTCCTCACTTCTCCTTACTTATATTAGGATTTTGCTCTCTTTATGTAACCAATATATATATATATATATATATATATAATTCTTTTAAATAACATAATAAAATTTAATGACATTTTTATTATTTTAACTTTTTATAAAATATTTCAATCATTTAAATTAAAAAAAAAATACCGACATGAAAAAAGGTTATAAAAATAACATTATTGAAAGAATACGCCGAATTTGATGTTTTCGACTGGTAAATTTTATCTTAGAACATAGCTATTGACTGATGCCATCATCGAACATCAATTACTTGAAGAATAGATCCAAAAAAAGAAAAAAAAAATCAAATGTTTCAAACTCTGGTTTTCAAAGACTAAGAAAAACGGAATCGTAAAAAATGGATGGCTCCTTCTCTTCTTTCCATATCTTCTCCCCTTTTGACTTACAAATTAGAGACTAAAGAGTAAAGACCAAGAATTTCTTGGCCTTCTTCTCCGTACTCACCATTTGTTCTTTTGTTTGGACTAACCTATATTGACTAAAATAGTTCGATTCTAATTATTATTTGACTAAGAAGTTGGGATGGATTTATCATTCATGTAAGATAATAAATATCTTTGACAAATTACCCTATGTCCCTTTAGCGGTTTGTCCCATAGGGAAAAAGACAGACCAACAACTCTAAAAATAAAAGGCAAATTTATCATATTAATCTTTGATTTTATTTAATGAAATATGAAATTTAATTCAATTGGTTTAGTTGTCTAATATATATTATAACATATAAAATTACATGATAAAAATTGTTTATATGGATATTTAAGTAGATAGTCTCTTTTAATGACACATAGGATAATACTTATATTATTTTATTTATCAAATAAATTTCTTTAATGAATTATTTAACTTTAATATTTTGGATAATTATTTAAATTCAAATCAAAATCTTTTTGAAATTGAAAATTTTACATAAATTTTGAATTCAAATATATTAAATCATAATTTATTTTTTAAAAATTTAATCACAGTTTCAAATATATAAAATTTAATAAAATTTTATTTTTTCAAATAATTATATTTAATAAATTATTTCAATTTAATATTTTTTTATAATTATTAAATTCAATTTAAAATCTATCAAAGATTGAAAATATAGCATAAAATTTAAATTAAAATATATTAAATCTAAATTTTTCATATTTTCAATTTAATCATAGTTTCAAATATATATCTGTGTGTGTGCACATACACGCTAAATAAATTTTTATGTACTAAAATTAAAATTTGAGAATGAAAAAAAAAAAGTATAAGGGAGGCCATCCCATTCAAGCTAAGATTATTTTATTTGTTATTATTAGAATTAGAAACTGAAAAAGATAAATTTTTTTTATTAGACAATTATAGTTTATTGGTTTTGATAGGAATTGACAAAAGTTAGAAAGAAATGAAAACCACGTTTTACTTAGGAACAAGAAAGTCAATTTTCTAATTTTATTCCCCCTCAAAATATGGTTTATATTTAATTTAATAATTAAGCAAAAGAAAATAAATTGAAATTTGAATTGGTCAAGTAATAGGACTTATTTAGAACTTATATGGTAGTTAATTCTAAGTTAATGAATTATTGATTAGAAAGCATATATTACTAAATAATAAGAGTTTGCATTTTTATATGAAAATATGAGATATTTGAATATTGTTAAAAAAGTTAGATAAAAATATATTTTTGTTTTTAGGAATAAATATAATATTTTATTTTTGTTCTAATTTAAATATTTTTATATTAAATATTTGGTTAATTTATTTATTTCTCTTTAGTCCATTACTTTTTTTAATTTTGTTATTTGCTCTTATTATTATATATTTTTAATCTCGATAAATTATTATGTAAACTTGTATTTTCCATTTTTTTTACAACACTTTTTTATTATTGATTTTTTTCTACAATAGATTATATGAGAAGAATGATGATCACTACCATATTTGATTACTCAATCAATTACGTTAAAAACGATTAAAAGTAAATAATATTTCAAAAAAATATGATATATCTTTAAGCATAACATAAAAAATTATTGTTTCCCTTTTATCTAAAAAAAATAACTTTATTTTGTTGACATAGAAATAATTGTTAGGCCAATATATTTGTGTAATAATTATTTGAAGTATGTCAAAAATAAGAATTAATAAAAAGTAAATAGTTACGATCAAATTAATAATGGTGATTTGTTGTTAAATGAAATATATATATATATAAGAAATTATAAAATATTATGATTCAATAATTTAGGAATATTCTTCTAATATAAAATGCCTTTCACAATTTAATCAAATAATATATATATATATATATCATATCAATATTATCATAAAAACAATTATTAATCTTAACTAGACTTATTCAAGAGTTGAGCTACTTGCCAAAGTCCAAAGGCCTGTCCAAATTTTGAGAGGATGTAGATAAAAAATTTAAAATTTATTAAATGAATTTTGGCATAATTTTTTGATTCGTTTAAATTTTGGGATAAATTTTGAATAAAAATTTTAAAGTCTGACCTTTGACTGTCCTTACCTAAATTCATATATATAATTTTTTTATTTTTATATATATTTGAATTATATATAAATTAATTCAAATATATATATAAAAATTGAAAATAAAAATTATATATAATGTATTAAAGTTAAATTTAATTTTTAATTTTTATATATATAATTTTTAAAATTTTTATATATATGTGAATTAAATATTATCCCATTAAAATTAATTTAATCACATATTTAAAATATTTATTATATATATTAAATTTAACGAGTGTGTTTGAGATTTATTTTTTTAATTTGAGTAGGGTTTGAAAAAATTTTAAAACTCGAAAATTCGAAACGAGTTGAGTCTAAATAAACGTATAAATTATTAATACTAAGTATGAATCCAATCCGGTCCATCTCAACTCATGAACACCTTTAATCTTAACTATTCAAAATTTGATTATTTTTTATCAAACAAAAAAGAAGTTGTAGTAAAATTTTTAGTGTTTATCAAATGAATTGAAAAAAATATTTTTTATGTAAAAAAAATGATTTTTATAATTTTTGAAAATTTACAAAAATTAATTTTATTTTTAATTAATAATATTATTTATAATATATTGTGTGTGGATTATCATTTAATTGTAGCTTAACATTTATAAATGTACGATTATATATTAAATCAATAAAAAATTATTTTTTATTAAGATAATATAAAAAATTAAAGTTAATTAAAAAAATAAATTTAAATTTATGAAAAATTTAATAAAAATCTCATGCAGGATTAAAAAAGATACTTTTTAAAATAAAATATTTAATAAATTTAAGATATAAAATTTAATATTTATAATTTTTTTCCTATTATAAGAAAAAAAAAATCTTAGGTTTTATAAGCCCAGCGCAAAAGCAAGAATGCGACAACACACCAAGCCACCTAAGCCAAATGGACTTTTTTGCCTCAACACTTGGCATCTCCTTTTCTTCTTAAAACCAGATAGTTTTTTGGCTTTCTTCGTAAGCACAAAAATACACCCAAAATAAATAAATAAAGAATCAAACCTTCTTCCCTATTCTCAATGCTTTTTGTCTTCTTCTTCTTAGCCATTTCTATCTCTTTCTAATCAGTCAGAAATGGCTGCGAAATCATTGCTTTTTTGTGGAGGATTTCTTTTTCCAAAGAAGAAAAATCAGTACAATGAGAGAACTGCTACAGATGTACTGTTTTTAATTTAAATTTTAATCTATTGTGAACTCGTCTATCTATACATCTCTGTGTAGAAAGGGGGAGACGTCAAAGTAGACAATAATTATAATTCAGAGCACTATGGCCTAGCTCTTCTATTATTCCTGCCGAGGTCGAGCCAACCAGAGAGAGCTGAGAGCTCTTAGGCGATGGAAGTACTCAGCAATCGCCAGCAAACACCTTGCAGCTTGACGGGTCGTCAGGATTTGGTGCAGCCGGTGTATGGTTTGGTGCCTCAGATTATCTGCCTGTAAGTTTTTTTTTTTTAAAGCAAAATATTGAATTTAAATTATATATACTAAAATAAGGAAAATACTGCACACAAATTTACATTATTAGCATGGTATAATTATAAATAACAATACTAATTAAAAAATTGAAAATACATGTTAAATATGTAATCCGTACTCGTTGAATTTAAAAACTTTGCTTTAGTGTATAGCATTAATAAATACTATAATATATATGCATTAGAAAGCAACATTAAGACAAAATGGATTAAACTTGACTTTGAGAGCAGAAATAAGGATGAATGAATTGCTTTCTTAAATTTTACACTGGCTATATCAACCCATGACTTTGTGGCACAAGGTGTTTTGATTGTCAAATGGGAAAGGAATAAAGGGCAGTTGAAAAAGATGTGAGGGTGTTTTTCTTTTCTTGGTAATTCAAAATTACTTGCGGGGTATGGCTTTTACTTACCTTGTCTAGAGGGTTTTGACAGAAAACAAAAGATAAATTCCAGGGTGATCATATCTAAAATCTAATTCATTTTCAACCAATCCCTCTGAGTTCAATGATGATAATTTAATTACAAAAACCTGAAAATCAAGTATAGGCCTAAGTCAGCCTAGTTATAATTGGTCAATTTGCCTTTCAATGAACATTGTCCAATTAGTGAGTGTTGGCTTATCAGTATGATGGTTTACTATTGACTTTCTCTGATTTGATTGGCAAAACATCTTGATTAGAATTTCACTTAACAATTCCACTGACCAAAATATCAAAATAATTGAAACTCTCGTGGTTTTTCTTACTGTGGGATCATTAATTTCAAAAGGATAATACCTTCATTCCAAACCTTAGGCCCCACCTACACCAAATCCTCCAAGTTTGATCTAGATATACCCTAATTCCCAAAATTACGAAGTTAAGCTCTTTGTGGACCCAAATCAAAGATTAATTATGATCATCTATTGATCAAGTAAAGCTTAATCGTTTTTTAGGACAATTGCAAGCTTAAAAAACTATTGATGGTAAAACTTAAACCTAAACCTCATAAACGAAATATTCAAAAACTTATTAATTCAATAAATATAAGCTCACTGTGAGTAGTGGAAATTAATGATGGATGGAAGTGGCTGCAAGGGTGAAGACTTAGCCTAAGTTAAAGAATGGCCACAGAAGGAAGTTATGGGAGATGATCCTTAAAGATGTCTTTAAGTCAAACGGTTACGACCATGACATCACAAACATATGGGCATGACGGATAGCTTTGGATGTCGATATATCATATGCATTAGATGAGGGAGGCCCATCAGCATGTGAAAATGCAAATATTCTTAGACTCGGTTGCTGCCATTCGTATTATTTTCCTCATCTGACAACTTGATTAATTTTCAAGTTGGGAAATCGACACAACTTCAAAAATTGCCTTGCTTGTTTTAGGCACAGATCATTATTTGACAGAGAGATCATCCCATTGTCTCAAAGCTAGTATTTACTTAATTAGTACAATTAATACCTCTCCTAGAACAAAAATAGAACTTGATTTCTTTATCTAGAAGTGTTGAAGACATTCGATTTAGTTGTAGAAATTTCAATTTTTTATATATATGACCCTATGTTGATGATGATGAATTCATCATCATCATCATCGTCCATGGGGCCGGTCGGGACCGGGAGTGAACAAAAACATGCATCAAAAAATAATAATATACTAATGCATGGATCAAGGCATACCTGTCTAACAAAACCTTCGAGGGTGGAGAGCTTGTTCATCGCGATGGCCATTTGGCCCATGTAGTTAGTCATGTTAGGAGGGCAGCTCAGTGAATCAGAAGTTATAATATCAGAAAGAGACTGATTCAGAGCTTCCAAGCCCTGTGATAGAGCTTCTTCAGCTTCCAGTGTCGATTGCTGCAATGCACATAAGCCCACCATCTGCTGCTCCGTCAATGGCTCAATCTGATTCAGTATAACCTGAAAAAAAAAAAAGATAAAAAAAGAAAAGAGGTGAGCAATAAAAATCACACCCAGAATCAGAGAGATGAAGATGAAAACAAGATCCTTGATTTCCATGAAGGTGAAGGAGATAAAGGAGAAGATAAAGCAGAGAGTAGAGATCCGTGTAGTTCTCCATTTTCGACTACCACAAATTGTAGTAACAGACATAGCGTTATCAGTAAGACAACTAATTAACCAAATCCTTTTAGAGAAAAAGCTTCACGATACCTTTCGTCATTCAATGGATTTTCTTTTTATTTTTGTTATCCCTATATATTTCCTTCTCACTGCCACCAACAAATTGCACCCATGCGATTAAAACGTACCATTCTGATTGGTTGGATTGTTTTTTGATTATTGACTATAAACCTATAGTAATGATTAGTTTTAAATCATTAACGCCTGTTTCGAACGCCAAGGAATTCGATTTTTTTAAAAAAAAAATTTGATTTTTAATATTATAAATAAAAAAATAAATTAAAAAAAGTACATATACTTTCGAGATTCGATTTAACTTAATTTTAAATTAATTGAGATTCAAAATCGAATACCGAATGATCTAGACCAATAAAACAAAAGTTTTTAGTCCTTTTTTAAATAATTTAGATTTCAAGTTATTATTTCAAGTTTTGAACTATTCCAAGGATAGGGTTAGAGTACCTTGATGAGCCTCGATGGCCGAAATCCACCCATCCACATGAAGCATCGTTCAGCTGGAGTCTTCCAAATGCCAGACACAAGATGAAATACATCGGTTTTGGCTAACATGCCTTTTAGGTTCATCATCTCGTCGAGGTGTGCTAAACAGTTGTTGACGAAAATCCGAAGCTCGTTCTCCGGTATATGCTCTTGAACCGCTGCTCGAAGCTCGCACATGAGTCGATGGTGCTCTTCTAGCCATCTCTCATACTCCACGTCAAACACAGCTGCTTCTGAAACATAAAAATTCAGTTGGTATATAGCCATAAATTAAAAAAAAAAAAAGGTTAAAAGATGCGAAAGAGAGAGAATATAAACCTGAGCTTATATTGTTAATACCAACAGGAAGGCCTTGCTCTCCTTCTAGGATACCACCACCAAAAAACATGCCCTAAACATTAAAACAAAATCTTCAAATATTTACTGAAATATATATACACAGATTAATGATATAAAAGGAAATGTCTCACTTGAGCTCTGCCTCTTTGAAGTTCTTGTTCCAGTTGGGTAAGCCTAATCCTACTTGACTCTAACTGCTGAACATATGCCTGTGATGAAACAAGAAAAATAAATGAACCCCAGAAGTAATGCTTAGTAAACTTTTTTTATAAAAGCTTGTTTAAATGAAATAAGAAACAGGCTGACCTTTTTTCTTAGCCTGCTTTTCCTTGCTGCTTCTCTATTCTGAGCAAGTCTTCTTAATGTCTGCTTCGAAATGATTCAAACAAAGTACATACATTCAACATTTTTTTTACAAAAAAAAAAGAGTGTGATTGATTGTCTTTAAAAAGAGAGTCAAAGAATTCACCTTTGGGTCTGGTGTTTTAGGTCCTTCCTGCTCCGAACTTGACCTTTGCCCTTTGCGATTCCCCTCACGCTGCCAAATTAAAACATGCATTGTTACAAGATTCCAACCTTTTAGAAATACAAAAATCAAAGCATGGGAATCTCAGTTTTTTCAATAAGATAATGAACCAGACTTCTATTCCCTGATTTTATTGTATAAAAATATATCTTTTTATATTCAGAGCCTCCAATCATACCTTGACAGCTTTTGCTGGTTGATCTGGTGCAGAAACTGAAGCATCATTTCTGGCGTTGGCCAACTCCATGGAAGGCAATGATGGTCTCTTTGAACCACTAGTTGCTGGAGAAACTAATCCTGTACTTGTCTACCAAATACAAAACAAACCCACTTAGAAAATTAGTATTTAAATAATTATAATAAAATAAAACTCTACATCAATATAAATAATAAGTTACCTTTGTTGATGTTGGTGGCTCAACGTGCATAGGCTGTGAAGGGAAAATGTTCAGAGTCGGAGGTCTCATTCCAGAATTAACTGCATACATAAATTCTCACAAGCATTAACTCAAACTTCTTTTACTGGAAAATTTCGAGTCAATGGAAATAAAGAAAGAAGAAAGAGAGCAAAGGAGAATTAAAGAAGGACCACAAAGAAAGGGAAGGAAGACAAAGGCAATAGAAGTATGAAATATGAAAGAAAAAGTAGGGATCGTCATGCAATAATTTGTAGCTTTGTTCCATCAAAACAGAAAAAAAAAAAAAAATGGAAACCCATACCCTTACACTTTTAGGTACATATAAATAATTTTCCCAAGGAATTCATAATCATATAGTTGTTTGTTGTTACATGTTATGGCCCAAAGCTACTCAACATATTAACAAATAATATCAAAAAGTTGAGAAAAAAAGAGTTTCTTTTTCTTTGAAAATTTTAGTTTCATTTTTTTTTCCTTTCAGAGATTTGTTTCTGCAAGGATCTGGTCAAAGAAAGTACTGGCAGATTAAATCTGTTGAATAGATGGACATGCTTTTCCTGTGACCAAACAGGCCTGTCCGAAAAAAATCTTCTTAACAGAAGCTCCAGAAAATGGAAAGAGAAGAAGAGAAAAAAAGAAAAACCCTGGACTTTAAAGTCAACAGTGAAAAAAAAAAAAAAACTGAGAGAGGGAGAGAAAGAAAGAGAAAAAGAGCACTCACGTCTTTGGTCTTGAACAGTGGAAGCGTCTTGTCCACCATCAAGATAGAGGAAAAGTGCTTGATCTAATTCACCCAAATCATAAGCTCCTGTATCTTTGCCTCTGCTTACCCCAAAAAAACGAACAGGAAAAAAATTTCAAAAAACATTTTCATGAACAAAAAAGAAAAGAAAACTTTTGGGTTGTAAGACCTAGATTTACTAGAGGCAGAAAGAAGATAAAAAAGGGTGGTTCTTGGTTTTGCTTTGCATAGTGTGTTCTGTGAAGAAAAATTACATGAAGTTTCCAGGGATGGAAGATGATAATGATGATGACTGCATCATTGCATAAGGAATCTGATTTTGATGATGTTGATTATGCTCTTGTATTCGGTGCAGATGTTGTTGTTGATGTTGCTGCTGATTTTGATGATGATGATGATGATGATGATGTTGATTATTATGTTGATGGTGGTCTAGTTGGATGGGGTGGTTCATGTTGCCTCTACTGGTAGCCATGAAAACAACAACCCCAACCAAGCTAGCTAAGCTTCTTCTTCTTCTTCTTCTTGAAGAGCTCTTTAATTCACCATTAATGGCGGAACCACTTTCCTTTTATTTCTTTGCAAATAATTTTTTCCACCTCCATCATCTAAATAGTCGTGAAAAAGAAAAAGAGAGAACCAAATAGAGTCGGTTATAATTTGAAAGAGAGAAGAGGATTTTTTATGATAGAATGAGAAAGAAAGAAAAACAAGAAACAAAGAAACTGGAGTTGAACGCACAGAAACAGAAGACAAAACCTTTTTATCTCTCTCTATAAATTAAATCATTATGACTATTGTTTTCTTTCTTTTTTTTATTTTTTTTAATAAAAAAACTACAATTTTTTTTATTGGAAACCGCTTAAGACTAGCTTCCTTGATGGAGTTTTCTATTGATTTATATTGAAATGCCGATAATGCCATTATGGAAAACAATATTTACTATTGACATTTTCATGCAAACTTACACGTAGATATTGTGGCGGCAGCTCTCGTTCAACCAACTACCATTCAGGCCTTTTTACATTTTAGTCCTATTTTTACGTTACAGTTTTTCTTCCTTTATAATCTTTTTTCTTTTTATAAAGATAAAATTCATCTCTTAAGCTTCTATTGATACATTGGCCAAAAAAATTTTCTATTGACATAGAGTTGTTTGAACTTGATTTCTTTTTAGCGTAATGAAACATTTTTAATCATACAAAAAATAAAATGTTCTACATATAAGAAACTTCTAGGTCTAAAGATTTAGAATTGATTCTTGATTATTGCAATAATAATAAAAAATATATAAATCTATTCAGATCGATCTAAAAAGAATAAGGGTATAAACAAATTAACATTTAACAAATAGTTCATAATAGATTCAATTTTTATTTATTTATTAAACTTAACAAATTATTACAAATAATATTTTAAATTTATTAATTAAATAAGTAAATCATGAATATAATAAAATTTTTTATATTCAATTTATTTTTATTCGAGAGTGTAAACTAATAGAGTGTTAAATGAATAATTCGTGAATAAATTCGATTTTTATTTATATATGCTTATTTATTAGCCTAAATAAACAAGCATGAATAATATTTTAGTATTCATTAAATAAATAAATAAATTACAAATGTAATAAAATTCATTCATATTCAATTTGCTTACACCTTTAAAAAAATGTATTGAATAAATCTTAGAAACACCTTGCTGCTCAACCAACAAATATATGGCATTTGTAATAATATAAATTTCATTTATCCCATATTTTGTCTTAACTATTTATCTCTGGTCATAGTTCATTTACATAAATTTAAAATAGGATAAAGTTTAATAATTTATGGGTGAATTAATTAACTTATGAAAATAAGATGATTAAAGATGGATCACTAAATTATTATAACATCAGATATAATAAATAAATCAAGACATGAAATCCCTTCAAAAAAAAAAATCAAGGCATGGAATAAACAATATTTTCGATAACATAATTGGCCCTTAATTTATAATTAAGATTATAATCTTTTACTACTGTTTTTCTGTTTTTAAATTTCAATAATAATTAATCTTTGAAGTGGATTTTGATTCTTTAAAAATTAAAGATTTAGAAGGACAACTTAACACTATAGCTTAAACCTTTGAAATGGTAATGGTCTTTGTCTATCTTAAATTGCATTAGTTAGAATTTATTGAGTTTGAAACATTGATAGCTTGAATGAATCCAAAGTCAATGCTCTATCCCGACCAAATAAAAATGTAAAAGAGTCAGAAAATTCTAGCTAGGCTAGGCTAGCTCAATGAGTAAGATATAATTATTTTTAATATTTTTATTATGTGTAGAAGAAAATGATATATAATGTGTGGAAGCTGTTTATGCAATTCAACCTGAACATGGATTTGACGACGTGAGGTAAGTTTCCAAGATGTTGAAAGAAAAATCTTGAATCTTGAAATTTTCGATGTTTGTAATTCTTTGAATCAAAGATTAATAATATATGCACATTTATGCAAAGAAAAATCCTTATTTTTCATGCTTTTGCCAACTTATTCAATTTCAACAATTCCGATCGGTACTAAGCATTTATAAATTTCTTGACCAATAATGTTTTCTCTGTCAATATGTTCGCTTCTATCATGTTAGATTTCAAGCTTCACACTCTAGCATGGGGTCAAGTTCCTACAACTTTAAAATCCTATAAATTTCCAGTATAATTTAATGGGTCAATTCAAGTTTTTGAAACTTTTATCAGAACTATACATGAAAATTGAATAAAGTAAATAATTAGTTAATAAATTTTGCCAAAGAGTGTGATATTATAGTCTTTAAATTACTATATACAGTCATCTGTATTTAAAAAAAATTAATTAGCATTTTAATTAAATTTCTAAAATTTTAATTTTGAAAAAAGAGAAATGTCGTTTAATGCATAAAAGAACTCTATTATATAATCAAAATTAATGTACAGAACAAAAATAATATAATAATAATAAAGTGAGAGAATGGCTAGAAAAAACTTTGAAAAGTAGCAATGAAAAATTGATTAATACTGTTGGTTCGATTTTGAAAAATCAAAAAATAAATCAATTGATTTTTTAGAAAAATAAAATCAAAATCGATTAAACTATTTTTAACAATCAAAAGTAACCGATTTGATATAGCTCAATTCGATTAAAAAAAAAAAAACTAACTTTTTCCATCATTCTTTTGCCATGAATTTAATAATAATTTTATAACAATTTTAACAAAATAAAACCTTGTATTATTAAAAATATAAATAAAAAATTATATATTTATATTATATAATCTATTAAAAATTATTAATTCCTCGGTTTCGTAATTAGTTTTTAAAACTAAATATAGATCGAATTAATTCACTAAATTATTATATTTAACAAATTATGGTTGGGGTGGTGAGGAGTCGGGTTTGTGTTTTTTTTTTTTTTTGAAGGTTGAGGAGGATTCCGTTTCCTTAGCTATTCGACAGCAACTTCTTGACCCGATGTCATTAAGTCTGCACTTTAGAAACTTGTGATGAGGTTATAATTTACAGCATTTTTTTAAAGGCTTTTACTTGTTCGATTAGGGTTTGAAATTGCTTAATGATTGGACCTGTTTGCAGTTAAGCTAGGTGAACAAAATGTTGGTTTAGGTGAGTTTCTGTTTCAGCTTGTTTTTAGATGAGGTGATTGTCTCTCCTTCTTGTTGGATTCTTTTTTTTTGTGGTATTGTTATATGCTCAACTAATGTGAAATGTGCCTTTACTTGGGTCGTCAAATAAAGTATCAAGCTCTGATCTGAAGGTAATTTTGTGAATACAAAAGAAATGGGTGATTAGAGACAAAGGCATGAGATATTTTTTTATGTTTGCACTTAGACGAATAAATTAATAAAATTAAATAAAAAAAGTGAGAAAGTAAAAACTAAAAAAAGATATGAATTAAATGAAACTTGTTTTGTAGTGTTTGAATTTTATATTTATAGATAAATTAAAAAAATAAAAAAAAACAATTAAGATATCAAATCAATACAAATGATTAAAATATTTCTATTATCTATTATCTATTGAAGATTGAAAGAGAAAAAAAATCACTATATGATCATTATATGGCTTGAGAGAACTAATTCACTAAATTATTATATTTAACCGATTATAATCCAAAGCAAATAAATTAACTTGACTGAATTCAATCAATGTTAAATCAATCCAATCAATTGAAACCGCCTTAAACTGACTACTATTAAAAAGGTGAAGAGTTTTCGGAATTCACCAACCGATTCCAGAATCATGAAAGGGTAGAATTGTCAACAAAAGTTTCAGAAAATTGATAGAATTACAATAGGGAGCATTAATATAAAGGCAGATGTCAACGAGAGGACAATGGTGGCACTGTTTTCTGAACACGTGTCAGATTAGTGTTCCCAATTTGATATTTGGAAAGTGGGTGGCGTTGGAAGGAGGACGGGAAGTGGGACCCACGGCATAAAGTAAAACTTAAAAAATGAACGGCTGTCTTAGTTTGGTTGGGGCCCACCATGACCGGCCCTCACCGTTCCCTCAATTTTTCTACTCCTTTGTTTCCAACAACTCCGAATACAATGACTCTCTGCTCCCTCTTCTTTGTTTTATTCTTCCATTAGTAAAAATATTTATTTATTTAGTAAGAAAGTACTTCCTTCTATATCATATAAAACGAAAAATAATAATAAATATTTAATGATCATTATATTTATTAATTTTAATCAAGGAAGTCACAATTTAATATATAAAAAAAATTATGAATATTAAAATTTAAAATTTAAAATTATTAATTACTCTAGTTATTTGTTGATAAAGGTTTAAATCTTTAAAATCAACCATATAAATCAAGATTTTTAATAAGTGTCAATTAAACAAATTTGTTTTATCCAAAGTTCAGGAGGAACTTTATAAAATGATTAAAAATTTGTTTAATGTGTCAATTAAACATATTTGTTTTAATAGGCTTTGCATGTAATAAAGTGTACAATAAAAAGTTTTGCAAGTTAAAAATTGATTAAATTAGAAATATTGAATTGAACATATAAAAACATATTTTTGTACAAATTAAAGGGGTTAAACATTTGTGTAGATACTCAATTTCGTCTAGGTCTTAATCAATTGGGCTTGATCCAAATGGGTAAGCTCAATTTGATTTTTATTTTGTATTTTTATTTTTATTTTATTTTTTTCTTTCTTTTGTATTTTATGTATTTATTATTACTATATATTAATATATGTATATTTTTATTTATTTATTTATTTTTTCTGTTAATATCTATATATGTATTTTATTTATCTAGTTATATATTTATTATTATAATTTATTTATTATTTTTTTATCTTGTAATATTTTTTATTTATCTTATTGTTATTTTTAATTATCTGTTATATATTTTTTTCTTTTTTCGTTTATCTGATTTTTTTTTTCGTTTATCAGATTTCTTTTTTTTCTTTTTTTTGGGTTGAGATTGATCTTTGAACAATCCTAACGTGAATGAGGATTCAATTAGAATCCAGATTGAATTCAAAGATTGAATCCCCATCCAAAAAAGAATAAGGATTGATCAGAAACTCTTCTGATCAATTCCTATAAATAGGTACTGGAACAGAAGGAAGAACATAGAGAAAAACAGTGAGCAAAAAGCTACTGACTAAGAGAAAATGGGCGTATAAAAGAGTTTTTGAAGGCTAAAAGAAAG